AAAACCCGAGTGAAACAAATCGTTCAAAATATACACTAAACTTTTGCAAGCGGTTTGTTAAGACTGTAAAGAAGACCAAATTCTGCTCTGTCTTAGAGACACTCAGGATTTAGTTTTGCTTGTTTGTTTTTTGCTTTCACAGTAAAGGTGATCAGACACCTACACAGTCGTTGTGCAGGTACACACACATGCACACACACAAGATATGATCAAAATACATGGTGAATATTAAAATTTTTAATTTTCATTAGAATAAGTGCACATCCCTCCCCGGAACCCAGGGGCTGGAAGACAGTACCCTTCAATGAAGTGTTCACACCAAAGCTTTTGGAAAAGACCATGAAAGTGAAATCAAGTTATAAGAAGAAAAACATGCAAGAAACAAACATAACTGAAGGGGAAATCAGGTTTTAATGAACACAAAGATTATTTGCATCTGGAAAATTCACATTTTGAAAATAATTAAACACCCACAAAAGAATGCCTCAACATCTTCACCACGACTGGGTGGCAAAGACCTCTGCATGGATAAACTGATAACACACTCTTTGTTATTACATTCTGTGGGCTTTTGCATTATTAATTATGGTTACCTTGTAAACAGCCTAGCACAGAACACTGCATTGTGAATGGAATTCATTAGCTGCCACTTGGGATATCTTTTAAAATCAGCACACAATACATTATTCGAGTTATTTGGAGGTGGAATCACTTGCCATCTTTAGCATAAACCTGAAACCTGTAGGCTAATTCATGTGGAAAATAAAAATGATATTGTCCCTACTTACATCTATTGTGACAATTCTGCCTACAGCAAAATTTAGACTTGTCTCAAGTTCATAGAGTATTATTTTCATCATTATTTTCCTAATTATCTATACCAACATTGTAAGTATGCCATAACATATTCTTTTGTTGTGATTTTGTTTTCCTTTTTTTATGCTATGGAATGTGATTTTAGTAGATTTTGTGACAAAGGACATAGCTATTCAAAAATATTATTCAAAGAACAGAAACAAACAGACATCAAATAATGCAAGGAAATGACTGGAAAAGGTTAATTGTGATTATCCCTGAAGCTATGTTTCGTAATCTATGCTTTACTGTATTTTCCACATATTCTAAGACAAAGATGCCTTTTAATGTTTAATCATTAAAAATACAAATTATTATTAATTTTTAAAGAGGGTAGGGTGAAACAAGTTATGAATATCAATGCACTTAAAGTCATATGCAGTATATTATGCACCTTGGGAATGGCAAAAGTATGAACCCTTCCACAAATTACATGAATTTTAACTCAAATACTGTTTGATGCTACACAACCACAAACCCCCTACACACGGGTTTTTCTTTTGCAGCACAATGAATCTCCTTTATCGAAGAGTACAAAGGATCTTCAATGGAATTCAGTGTTACAGATATAAAATATCACTGTTATACAGTGAAACCATCCAAGAAATGGCTTCACAATGCCTAGTGCTCACTATGAAAATCTAGAATATCATTCTATTTTTTCACAGCGCATATTTTTAAACAATGACTGATTTCTGAAATATACACCTGTTATCTAAACTTCTCTTGCTAAGTCAAACCTTCCCAAACAGGAATCTGAGGGCTGGGCTATTTTTACAGCTTCATAAGTGGTTTACATTCCCTCTGAAGCTTTCCGAGACTAATCCCGCCGAATTTCCTGGACAGAATTCCTATTATCTTCCTTCAGCGACATCTTCCTGAAGCACACATGTCCTTAAATGCCCATCTGCATGCGGTCCACACTGGTTACCTTGCACTCCTTGTTCACCAAGTGCTTGTTTCTGCAACTGTCATTTATCATGGACTATCTCACTTAATCTGTACAGTAGCTCAAACAGGGTTGTAAACTAGTACATGAAATTTTGTTTTCCAGTACTAGAGATTGAACTCTGAGCATTTGCATTGAACTACAGCCCCAGACCTTGTTTTTAATTTTTTATTTTGAGACAGGGTTTTCCTAAGTTGCTAAATGGCCCAGGCTGAGCTCAAACTTGTGATCCTTCTGCTGCTGCCTCCCACAGAGCTGGGATTGCAGGCATAGGGTCCCATGCTCAACCTCTCCCACCTCACTAATAAAGATTAGAAAACTAGGTTTTGAAACTGGCTCGGGGTCACTTGACTGACAAGGGGAGCCCACAGCTCTTCTTCTGTGACTTACTTTTCAAGTATTTACAACATATTACACATGGTCCTAAAGCAGCCAATGCATCCATGCTCCTAAGGTCAGCAGACATGCGGGACACACTTATGACAAAAAGCGTATGTTGCTTATCAGAAATTCAGACTTCAGTGGGCATTCTGCACATTGTTGTTCATTCTAGCAGGCCCACAAGTTCCTGGCCCGCACACCGTATAGCAAGCTCAGCTGACTCAGTGGCTGGCCCAGTCCTTCCTGGCATGGCTGGGCTGGCAATGGAATGAGATGGGGACATCCAGAAGTGCTTGGATGAAGACCACAAGGAACTGGGGAGAGAGACCACCAGGGGCAGGTTCTGTTTGGAATAATTCCCAGCAGCTGTTGCAGCCAGGGTTGGCCCATGAGCCAGCTATTCACAAATCCAAAGATGCTCTGTGGCTGCTCTCATTCCTTATGAGAAGCTTCTGCATTTCACTTAAAGACAAGCACTTGAAGAGCTGAAAATGCTGGCCTATTTTCAGGAGGGCTTCCAGAGAAAATAGGGTGCCCTTTGAGTCAGGCTAATAGGAAAGCCTTTTCCAAAGCTCTCTAAAGGTGAATGAAGGGCCAGGCGCACGCCTGTAATCCCAGCACTCGGGAAGCTCAGGAATGAGGATAGCTACAAGTTCAAGACCAGCATGGGCTACAAAGTGAGCTCAAGTTCACCCTGAACTGCACAGGGAGACCCTGTCCCAAAAAGACAAAAAGAAAAGAGATGAATGAGGGACACAAGACTCAGCAGCACCAGTCTCAGGTAGGTCTGCACCTGATCCCCAAGTAAGAGGCCACTGTCCCTTGGCTGGTGACCAGAGCTCACTTGCCCTAACGGGGGATTTGGGGGAAGAGCCTACCAATCCTTCATGTCCCCTCCCGCATGCTGCTAACTGGAATCAACCTGCCACGGTCTCAATCTCTTTTATCCCCTTGTTCCCCGATGCAAAAAGGGACATGGACAAATCAAATCATGGAAAGAGGCACCTTGAGTCAACAGATACCTCCGAGTTTCTAAGAGGAGGAAGAGATGTACTAGATTCTGGAGAAATTAAGCGAAGTCTGCCACATCGCTTACGGTCTGGGTAAGGACGCTGACACCTACTGAGGACTGACGCAACGCTCTCGGTGAATGCGGTAATGACACAAGAGGCTGGTGTGCAGACAGGACTGTGAAGGACAGGGAGTGGGGCAGCTCTGGCCAAGGAGAGCTCTTGAGCCAGGTCCTCACAATGAGGAGGAGATCTCCAAGCAGAAAATATGGGGTGGGAGGAGGTGGAGGTAGAGAGCCAGGGTTCAAAAACCAAAAGAAGGAGATGAGGTCATCAAATCCCAGAGGGTCAAGAAGGAGCATCTCTATAGCTGTGGGAAGCCCACATGAAAAAGCCCACTATAAGGATCAAGGACCCCAGCAGAGGGGCTACTAAACCATTCCAAATAGCCAGCATGTATGGAGCAGTGTACAAAGATGATGTTGTGTGTGTTATGCAAACCTGGAGGCAAGTTTAACAACCCTACAGTCCACAGCCCAGACTCTGAATGATGCAGTTTGATAAAGTCAGCACTGGAAATCCCCTGTGTTCCCGGTGGACTAAAGTAAGGGAAAGCTCTCCAAGAAACCCTGTCCAGTGCATGTCTCACAGTCTCTCAGAACAATCAAAAGAGGCATGAGTGAGCTGCTCTTTACCAGGTACTAAGCCAAGTTCCTCCTATTCATTGAAAGTTGGACTCACACATCACAGTGGTATCAGGTGGGGGTTTGTGCACAAGGACTCCTTCAGATCTGAAGGCAGCAGCAATGGTTCTAGAAAGTGATTATGCTGTTCTGCAGTACCGAGGATGTAAGCTAGATTCAGTTCCTCTTAGGGCTACATAGGAACTGTATAGCCCCTGCAGCTATAAAAGGTGTGTATGATGATCTAGAAAATTTGGCTGAAAAAATCAGGTGCACTGTGCTGTCAAATATGCCTTCCTTAGATGCCAGAAGAATCTGAATCTACACAGGGCACCCTCCTTCAAGTGTAAGGCCAATTTTCCTAAGAGATGCATGTAACATGTTTTATGTACATCATCTTCAAAACATTCTGACATGATAGGTAATCTGAATGCAGGGACTACTTATGTTTTCCAAAGAAGTGATAGTAAATTTAATGAAAAGATACTTGAAACTATCACAGTTGCTTTCCACAGCCTCATCTTCCCGCTGCATGAAGGTGTGGGCCTTGATACAGGAATATGCACATCTAGAAAGACAGGAGATGAGGACAATCCCCTTGGATTCTCAGTTTACTGGGAAAGCATTACAAAAGGTCATGCAGAAAGCTAAGTAGGGACTTAGTATGTACAGGAAAGCTGCTTGACTTTTGATTCCACTGGAGAATACAGTGAAAAGATTAGTGGTTAATTTCAGCAGGCTGATGCCCTGGCTTTGAAACTCTGTCCCGTCTTTCACTAGGAATGAACACACCTTGGGACAACGTATTTACTTACTCCCTGCCTCAGTCTCCTCATCTCTAACATAGAGATGTTGCCAGCATTCACCTCTCATGTGTGATGGGGGAACGAATGAGTTAATTCAGGTTAGAAGGGATCCGGACACACCGTGAGTCCACACCGCGCTTGCTATGAGGGGCACATCCATCCTCTTATCCATGCACCTCTTGACCCTCACACTGCATTTCACTCTTACACGACATCACCAGCACACTTCCATTTCAGCAGAGAGCTCATGCATAACTGCACATATGTAAAATGAAGTCTGAAAACATCTGCGGTGGCAAAACGTAACATCTCTCACCTTGCTCCTACCACAAGCTCTTTCTGTCCTGGGTCAAATGTTAACTGCGAGAAATCCACAGCATTCTTCGCTCTGAACTCCCGCAACCAGGGGCCAATTTCTAAACAGAAAAAATAAATACATGAAAAGATAAAAATGAGTGATTTTTCCCCCCGAGGACCACAGAGAGGGCACATCAGGTAGCAAACATTACACTTAAGGAGGACTTGGAGGTCCCCCCGTGAGGTGGTTAGGGGCCACTGGAGGTCTTTCATCAGGATGTCCGTCAATCACACAGAGGATGTGTGAAAACGCAGAGGGCAGGGCCCAGTACAGAGAGAGCAGGGCACTGAGGTGTGGCTGTGATTTACAAGCCAGATGTGCATTTCCCTCTTGGCTTTGGGCTGGGCACAAAAAAAAGTAACACAGCAAACACATGATTCATCAACACCGAATGCAAACAGACGATTTCCTGTGCAAGCGGCCTGGAGAGGGCTGAAGACTTTGCACAATCACAAATGCCCTCCTAGGAGCAAGGATAAAGCACAGGGCACCACTTGCAGCCTCTCAAATTGGCCCTTCCAGTCACCTGTCCTTTGGGTTTCTATCTGGGCCTGATGATTAGACTTGTTAAGCACCTTCAGTCGTTTCTAGATGAGAAACCCACAGTTACTTCTGGGCCTCATCTGCACTTTTTTCTAAGGAAAATCAGGAAATAGTCACTCTATAGGGACGGATTTTTTTACAAGCACTGTTCACTCCTATTAGAAGGCCGCCAGCCCAGAGCCTGATGATTACACAAGGACAGTATTTGAAGGAGCCAGAAAGCTGCTTCATGGGCCACGTTTGCAACTGTTAGTAGCTCGTGTCTGGCAGCAAAACAATATGCAGTGAGCCGCCTGCCAGTCTGGGAATACGTTACTGTTATCCTTGGCAGTCAGTCACATTACTGGGTGGTCTTTATGCTTGTATTTCATATTTTCAATGATATCACACCAATTAAACAGGCATGGGACAACTGTCAAGTCAACAAAGTTATTGATGTGAGGGGTGGGAATACTGATTTTCAACAAACACTGACACCAGAAATAGATCTACTATGGAAATATGCCCATGTCCCATAACATACCCTATAGAAACTGCTGTGTGGCCGTGAACAAGATAGAGCATTGTACACTAATCACTCTGAATATAAAATGTCCTTTCTCTGCTCTCAGTTTTTGGGGAAAAAACTAATATTAAATGAGCTATTTTCTCCTTAAAAGAAACAAGAACTAAAGTAGAAACCTGTATTTGGTTGTAAAATTTTAATGTGTACTTTTTTTTTTTTTTTAGTATTTTATAAAAATTTGTTTGTTTTTACAGTCAGGACAATTAAAACGAAATATTTTTAACCAAGTATGTACAAGGCTCTGGTGCTATAAAATATTAATGGACAATCCTTCAAGAGCTTGTAATTCAGTTGGGGAAACAACAATATCTTCTTTTAAATGGCATTTACACATACAGGGTGGTTATAAGGTTTTGTGGAGTTATAAGAACTCTTCATAATGTATAAAGGTGAGACGCTTGGGAATTTAAGTCCTGTGAAAGGAAAGATCTGACCAGAGACTCACAGGAGGGACAGATGACCTAGAGAGACAGATAAGAGAACAACATTGGAACATAGTGCCTCCTCTGGCCACAGTTGGAATAACTCGTCTTTTCTTAGCCAATTCCTCCATTTGTGGGAAAGACAGTGCCCAAAGGCCCCCGTGCCTGTGTGGCTCGCTGCATGCCTGTAGCACAGAGAGCAGGACGCCGAATGTGGTGAGTGCAATGAGTGTGCGAACTGAAAGAGCAAGAAAGAATGAATGGATTCCAGAGCAGGAGAATTTAAAGGAAGGACAGGGTATGGAAAAAATAACAGTAACTCAAGAAATTAGTACAAAAGAGAATGGAAAAATATACTTCAACTGCAGAAAAAATGACTTACAGGCTTAGAATTGATCTTGTGCATGATGTTACCAAAGACTTGACTCCTTTTCAAACAAACACTTGGCTCACTGAATCACATACCTTACGAATATGAATAAGCTATTGTTAGGCAAGGTGGTTGGAAAAGAGTGGTGAATGTAGACAAAAATATATTTATTTTTTAAAAAACTTTAACAAAGCACAAAATTCAGGATGTACCTATGAAAATACAATAGAAAAGGAAGATGTGCTGGGCCAGTATGACTGGGTGATCGGTGTTTGAAGATGAAGTCAAGGGGAACAAACTAAAGAGAACACAAGTTCCCACACCAAATGAAGAGGCCAGGGATGATGTAGACACACATAGGAGCTCAGGCTGGGTTTAGAGGACGTAATGGACTGAGGTGTAAATAGGAGGATACTCGACACCAAAAAATCCCAAGAGCAAGTTACTCCCAGAGCCACTGCTCCCCATGACTAGAATGGTCCATAAAGACATTTAAATTCAGAGCTTTAGCGTTCAGATAGGAAACCCACGAGCAAGGAGCTCTGCCAGGGCTGATTCAACTGCATCCCACTCCGGTCCCCACAACGCCATCCTCCAGAGCTGAGCATCAGGCGCACTTCACATTGTGAGATAAACAAAGAAGACAGGGCCAAGGGCTGACCTTGGTGCCACAGATGAGCTATGTAAGGGGAGAGAAGACTATGAAAAATGCAAAAAACAAAACCGATTCTCTCCTAGGCACCCAGCTTTCATTTTAGTTAGAGGAAGTGGGAGAGAATAGGCAATAGGAACCAGGATGATCACACCCATTTTAGCTTTAGGTTGCTAATCTAAATAACAAGGGAACAACATACTACTTCCTGAAATATCCTCCATGAATAAAAGCATTTGTGTGCAGAGAGAAAAATGAGTTAAAAGCAGGAAGTTCTGTCAGTATTGTTTGATTTTCCTTATTTAATATTCTAATGCAGTTCTCCAAGAAAACTGTTTACTTTTCAGGCCAATACTTCATTAAAGTTGCATAATCTGCATAATCACTTCTCTTTCCATTTTCCAGTGCATTCCTCCAGCTCAGGTTACGTGTGTTCGACCTATCTCATGGCCTTCTGTCTTGGACATTCTGAGATCCTGGGAGAACATTTTTGTACCAACCCGCTCCTCTAACTGAAAATGCATCCACACCATAGCTGTCCTCTGCATGCTCCTGAAGGTGGGAGTCTGCACTGCTTTTTCTCTCATGGACCCCCAGTGCCTCCAACCTTGCTCCAGCCCCCTCTCTCTCTCCCCTTGTCCCTTTTCTAAATCACCCCCTTTTTTCTCTCTAGTATCTCCACTGTCAGCCAACCTTCTCCCCTCTCCATATAAGTATATTCACACCTCCCTGTATTTTAAAAATCTTTTAAATCATATTTTATTACATTCATTTGTCATTAAAAACACCAAAAATTGCATAATAAATTCTTAAGTACAGCATGCCAAAAAAGATAATGAGCTCAGTTTTATATATAAATATTATCAAATCCTTAAGGATTATATGATCCCAAACTTACATAAGCTATTTTAGACACAGAGGTAAAACTTTGCAACTTGATTTGAGGTATACTTATCCTTATAATCTTAAAAGTGAGTCTGGACCAAGGGTATTATGAAAAGGAAATTTACAGGCCAATCCCACTGAAAAACATGGTTGAAAACATTCCTAGCAGTATTAGCAAGTGAGATGTATGGATTTCCACACCCTCAGATGAGCACACAGCACACGGTATTTCATACTGGCCAGGGCTCACCCAGAAGCACAAGGATGGCTCAACAACTGTAGCGTCAGAAATACCATCAATGCAATTCACCATCACAGTAACAGAAGCTAAAAGGAGCAGTAAGAAATTATCACTATTGCTTTGTAAGGAATTAGAACATGAACAGATACAAAACAGAAGATCTAGGAGAGCGCAAGGTCAGGTAAGGCGGGGAGGAGAGGGTCTAAACACTGGACAGTTGGGGTCAAGCAAAGCCCAATGTCACAAGACCAGAGAGAGGAAGGACACTAGGACAGGGCCCCCAGCACGTGGAGAACTGAGGGGATTCAACTTTCAAAAACATTAATTTGTTCCTTGTCCACATGTAAAAAATTTACCTCTTTCCTCTGTCCCTCTCTTGTGATATTGCTGAGAAAACTAATGATGAAATGAAAATTAAGCAGCAACTATGTCACTGGTTGCAAGTAACAGAAAACTTGCAAATTCCAGTAGAGCACTTTGTAAGTGATTTTCACTATTTGCTATTAATCACCCTAGATAATTTAACCTTTCCACAAATGTGATCATTTTTTCTACCACAAAATAGGTACACTGATTTATATTCACCTTTTCGTACTATAACACAAGCTCCTACATGATTATTTTCTCAATATTTCAGCAAAAGTATAATGATTCCATTTTTTAAAAAGCCCAGCCTTCCATCTTCAAGAGAAAATATTTTTGTCAACATACGTCGGTATTAATAAATGTAGTTCAAGATAATTGGCAAATACAGGCTACCTAGACAGAAGCAAATTCAAGCTTTCCCTCAGAAAAAAAAAGAAAAGAGAAGAAATGAGAAAGGAAAAATGGTTTCAAGAGCTGCTTTTAAAAGAAAATAGCAAGCACTCTAAAGATAGCAAGGATAACGATGTTTTTGAAGTCTGACAAATGAGGATCACAGATGTGGCTGCCTTAGAGTGGTGCTTACACATAACATGGCAGTCACCCTAAAACCAGAGGGGCTGCCTCGCCACACACTCAACCCTGCAGCCCTGATCATCTGCAGGCCAGCTTGACTTTTTGGGGAACACAGAGACAAGACCTCCCAGGAAGAAACGGAGCATCCCCGGCACCCCTGGGTCCACCCCTCACTCCTTCAAACTTCACTCTAGGAACCAAGAAAGGATCATTCAATACTTCTATGGGGACTTGAAATCTACATTGGAAACTAAGTCACAGAGTAAACAGGGCGGGGCCACAGGATGGTAAGTGAAGACTTTTATAAGCCCAGGAGGCCACAGATCAACACACACGAGGACACAGAAACAGAAATGCAGACCACAGTCCATTCCTTCTAATTCTCATGCAATTACACAATAAGTTTAATTGACATCATATACTACATATGGACATCACAAT